TTAAATGGAAAGAACAATATTTTTGTGGCAGTTGCATAAATAAAGCTACCAAAGTTTTGGGGGACGGGGGAGTTATTGATAATCAACTGCAAAATAAAATAAAACAATCATTCATTTAAGTGAGTGTGCCATGTCTACGATGCATATGATTGGTCCATATCATTATTATTTACTACTCTGTATTTATTTATATTTAAACCATCTACTTATTTACCACTTCTAATTGGCCTATCCAGACAAGATACATCATCTTGGAATTAACGTAGAGTATGTCTTATAAAAGTGAAGATATTTGAAATCAAATTAAAGTATCAATTTGTTTAGGGAAAACTCTCAAATAGGTACACGTACTTTTAACAAAAACTCAATTGAGTTCATGTACTTTTTTTCGAGTCAATCAAATCCGTCAACTCTCAATAAACGACCAAATGAGCTATTTAGTAGGTATTCAAGCGGTTATCTGGTTGTTTGCCTAGGTGGACGTTGCAGACTTGCAGGTGGCAATTTTTTTACTGTTTTCCATTTTTTTAACTTTCATTTCCTTTTTCATTTTTCTTTTCTCTCTTCGTTCATTCTCTTTTTTTCTCTTTCTTCTTTCTTCCTGGTTTGCCCCCTTCACCTTTAATTTTCCAGTCTGCAGCTCCCCGCTTGTTCGTTTCTTCCTTTCTTTTCTTTCGATGCTTTTAATTTTTCTTTCCTTTTTCTATTTTCTCCCGTGCGTATGCAACTCCATCTCCTCAGTTCCCTTCTACGCACACTATAGATCTATGTGAAATAATGGGAGAGGTACTCCAATAGGAGTCCTGACAGGTATATTTATATTAAATAAGAGTTACCAAAAAACACAAGGATTCCTAATTTATATTAACTATTACACCCCCTCAAGCTGTGCGGGAGAAACAACGCGCATGTTGTCTTTAAAAAAATTAAACTGCTGACTAGATAAAGCTTTAGTAAATACTAGTATATCTGCACATATGCCTCCTGCGCAGACTACAGTCTACAGATCTATGGTGGAGGTGGTGGTGGTAGCTATGGAGGCTGGGGTGGTTGGAGGTCGTTCCAACTTCCAATAGAAGAGACGGAGGTGAAAGCCGGAGGCGGTGGGGATGGTGGTAAGGGCGGCTGAGGTGGTTGCTATGGAAGTCGGCGCGGCTGGAGTTCATTTCAATGGAGGAGACGAAGGGATGGAGGTGGTGGCCGGAGGACGTTTGTATGGCGGAAGGGGCGGTTGAGGTGAAGGTAGAGGCCGGACTTTGGAGGCGGCTGTGGAGGCCTGCCGGCGGAGGTAATGGCTAGAGATCGAGGCCAGAGCGGCGTAATTCATTCCATTGGGAGGTGGAGGCAACGAAAATGGAAGAAAGTAGCGAACGGGGGGATGCGGACTGGGAAGAGAAGAGCGGCGGACCAGGAAGAAAGAAGAAAGAGAATAAAAGAGAAAGAAGGAAGAGAGAAACGAAAAATGAAAAAGGAAAAGAAAATTAAAAAAATGGAAAATAGTAAAAAAAAATGCCAGCTGCGACGTCCACGCAGGCAAATAACCGGATGACCGGTTGAATAGCTGCTTTGGTCACTTATTGAGAGTTGACGGACTTGATTGACTCGAAAAAAGTACATTGACTCAATTGACCTTTTGTTAAAAGTAGGTGAACTTATTTGACAGTTTTCCCATTTGTTTATAACATTTTTGTGCGAAATTTTGATAATGCAATTATTAAGAACATTTGTTATACTCCGTAGTAAAAATATTTATAACTCAAATACATACTTAAATGAACATGAAAAAAAATATAGATTCACATCTTAAGTAATAATATGACTAGGCTTGTTTCTGATATTCTGATAAATAAAGTTAGTAATATATGTTGAATCTTTATTATCTGAATAGGTTTTAACTTCACGATTTGTACTCAATTTACTTTGTATCCATTAGTTTTTAGAGAAAACTGTCAAATAGGTTCTCGAACTTTTATAAAAAGTTCAATTAAGTTCTTCTATAGGAGATTCTGTCTGGCCGTCGCGATTTGGTGCAGTTCCCGGCGGAATTTTTTGATGAATTTTTTTGAGCATCTTATTCACCAAGTCTAGTTTACTCATACCGAATTTCAGCTAAAAATTCAATCGGGAACACATTCAAATTAATTCTTGAAGATAACTGCGCATTTTTGCGTTCTCGAATTAATTTGAATGCGCTCCCGATTAAATTTTTAGCTGAAATTTGGTATGAGTAAACTAGACTTGATGAATAAGATGCTAAAAAAATTTCATCAAAAAATTCCACCGAGAACCGCCCCAAATCGCGACGACCGGACAGAGTCTCCTATAGAAGGACTTAAATGACTTTTTTATGAAAGTTCGAGGACCTATTTGACAGTTTTCCCTAGTTTTTATAACACATATGGTGAGATGGATGAATAGAAAAATTATAGAATACATATTTTCAGTTCTAGATGGAAAATGTTTATAAACTTTAGAGGACAACGTTTTTCAAGGTGAAACACATGCATTTTATTATTCCTAAGAAGTAAAATATTTTTTCATACCAATTTCATGTGTCAAGTACTCGAAAGATAGTAGAAAGTAATGAATAGAAAAACCATCATAATCATCACTAAATGATACTAAGATTGCAATTTGATAGTAATTGTTATCATCTTCATTATACAAAATAAGTTGAGGATGAATTTGTTATCATCTTCATTAGACAAAATAAGTTGAGGATGAATGAATGTTTATTTTGTAATTATATACTAATTAGTGTATCTCTAACAATTACCATAGATGGAATCTAATATAACTTTACATCATGTTCTAATTTTTATATGATAAGTATGTATATACGCATTACTCATGATATAAATTATTTTCAAAAAATAATTTAATTTCATCTATTATCCGGACAATGCACGGGTGGATTGACTAGTTTATAAAAAAATGCACTCAGCTGAATATAAAAGCCGGATTATTGAAATTGAAGAAACATATGTCAACGCTCAAACAAAACTCGTGAACTTATGAAAATTCATTGAATTATGGATCGTTGTTAAAAGTACTTCTCAAAATTCATTTCATCATGGATCGTTGTGAAAACATTTTTGAAAAGAATTTTACTTCGTGTACACGTCCTCTTACACGTGAGAGCCTATATTGTACAACCACTTGTGCGGTACTCATTGTACAATCAGGTATTCTATCTTACACGTAATGAACATTACGTTTAAAAACTGGTCCCGAAATAATTGTCTCGCTTTCCTTTTCGGTCCGTCCCGAAAAAATTGGCTCGTTTCTTTAACTTCCTTATTTGGTAAACAAATCTATACCAAACAGTGTCATACAGTGCAAAACTATGCCAAACAATGTCGCTACAGTGCCAAACAGTGTCGTTACACTGCCAAACAGTGTCTTACAGTGCCAAACAGTGACGCTACAGTGCCAAACAGTGTGCAGTCAAATTCATTTTCTTAATCTGTGTGAAAGTCAAACCAGAACGATTATTTCAGGATGAAGGGAGTAGCATTTTATAAAAAAAATTACCATGTGGCAGCAAGTTATTGGATGAAGAGTGAATGTAAATTTGAAAGGAGTGCGCCGCACTCAAAGCCTAGAAGCAAGATTTGTTCAAGGAGTGCCGATTTAGCCATCAACACAGTTCGTTTCAATACTGGATGATATACCGATTCAATCTAATTCTTATATTGATAGACTCACGAAGTTTCCCAGCATTCAATTCCAGCAATTAGGAAGGACGAACACCCGAAATTTCTGAGATGGGGTTGTGGTTTTGGGCCAACATCTTATTTGGCCGAGAGTTATGTCCGCTTCATGTGAGCGTGTATTTTGTTCTTCTCCTAGCAATGCCTGGAGGTTGTGTATGTCTTCCTCATCGGTGTAATCGGTTCATTATTCATGGTTGACAAGACACGTTTATTCTGAAGCTCCAATTACTCGCCCTCTTCCTGAACCACCGCCTTACTTGAAGAAAAAGATAGCGCTCAACAAGATCTCCTTTTCGGTGGCTTATCAAACTGATGATCCAAGCAATTTCTGCTCAATTGAATTTCCTTTTTTGGTTGATGGTCAAACCAATTCTCCCTTTCTGGTGGCTGGTGAAGTCGGATCTCGTAGTTGCAATTTTTTATTTTCTATTTGGAGTAGCAAGAAGAGCAGCAACGCTGTTAGACTAGACTACATTATTGCGGGATTAGCGATTTGGAAGGATTCATTAAATCTTTTCCGTTTTATGTCTCATCCCATTGTAGCCTTATGCTATTCGTTCTCTTGTATATATCTTTTATTAATATATTGGTTATTTGATTTTCAAAAAAAAAAAGAACCCACATCTAAATTTCAATGGGCGGCCATGGCCTAACAGGAGAAATTATACCAATTGATCCGTACTAGGGTTGTATACGAATCAAATAATTTATACTCAATTCGGGATTCGAATTCGTATAGGACGATTCGAATTCGAAAAATATAAATACAAATAAAAATACTAAATTTGATTCGAATTCTCATCAAATTCAAATACGAATATCAGTATATTCGATTCGAATGTTAATCAAATATATTCGTTTAATAATAGTGATAATATTAATAATAATAGTAATAATAGTAGTAGTAACATTATAATAACTTTTAAAAGCTGGTTATATATATATATACCCTCAAAGTGTAGCTTATATATACATTTACGTATACACATTCCAAGCCAATTTGTAATGGATCAGAAGTATCATGAGTAAGGGTTACAAACGAACAAATAATTTTAATTCGATTCGTGATTTGGATTCATAAATTATTATTTGAATTTGAAAATATAGAATATAAATATGAATACAAATCAGATTTGTATTCGCAGGTGGAATGAGCAGAGTGTGATATATACGAGTCTGTTTCTTATTAACCCCTCCTCAAGGTACTCTCAGGGACAAACTGGCTATGTATTAAGGTATTTCTATCATTCCATTTACCCTTTGCTGCACATTTGTACATTTGCACATTATTTTGGCTATCTACCCTCGAATGAATCATTTCAATTAGCTCGTGTAATTGTGTTTAAGAATGATTACATAATATGGGTAATGGAAAAAAAAACTAAAAAGAACAACACTATGCCCTCCATTGTTGGTAGCAGTGTTTCACTAGATGCAGTAGTGTTCGCTTCTTTAGCTTTACCTGAAAATTGAAGAACACTCAATCCTTATTTCAATTCTCAAGTAAAATAGTGGTAGCCTTGCACTAGGATTACTAATTTGTCTTATGTAGAGAAAATGTGAGTTGGGGATTAGGAGAAGTGTAACTTACAGTCTGAAGGTTTCCATCCCAAAACTAAGTTTTCACGATCAAATACAAGATGGTAACCCCTCATGAAATTCTCTGGAGAAATAATTATTGTTTGAGGAATTAACTTCAATTCATAGGTTCTTAATGCAAAGTTAAATAATCAATACGAGCACAATAACTGTAGCCACTAGGTATGTAGTAAATATATTAAGAAAATATATTTGAACTATAACTTACTGGTCCTTGTCCAGTGGTGTTTTCATGTGGCCACTGCTACCCTTGTCTCCAAATGCTATTCTGCCATTGCCATCAAAGGCAAAACATAGGGAAAACGAGTTGGGTACCAACCCTTTGGATGCTAACATGCTTGGCACATCCAAATGTGTATTAAACCCCAGGCCTAGTAAACCATTTAATGCACCCTTCTCCAAAAAGGTTCCTGTTTCAACCACTCCACACCTGAAAAGGAAGGAACATATAATTTATGGTCATTAAAAAGAAATAAAAGTATACATTTAGTAAAAATAGTTATAATTCATACGCACCCAAATATAACTGGTGCAGCACTAGCCTGGTGTTTCTTGTCATAAGTTTCCAAGTGCAGAACATCCTTAACAAGGATGCTCTCAGTCGAAGTGTTATCTGACATATAGTCGACTTTGTATGGGCATGCCTTGTCTGACCGACGCGGGCATTGTTTCTTCGGCCAGCATTCGGGGCTGTCACAAGAAACAATTGCACTCGTGGATGATGACTTAGGGCTGTAAGAATTGAGATTTTTTATCTGTTTGAGGGTAAAAGGAGATGCAAAGATTAGAACATTTTCCTAGTAATTTTTTTTGACTGGCAATGTAGAAATAGTGACCAGGGACTTCAAAATCCCTGTTGAATTGGATTAGGATCTGAAATATAAATATAAATATACTCACAAATATATGTAGCTATAGAACTTTTTTCTTACTTGTCCCTTGTCTGTCTCATAGAAGTGTGCGCAGTCCGTGCAGCCGCATGGCAACCAGGATATATCACTACCCGTGTCAAGTGCAACCATAAATGAAATGGGAGGAGTCCCAACACGTAATTGGGCATAATACAAACTAAAAATGTGTGACACCAAATTATTCATAATTGTGGTACATGGGAATATAATAGATAATGACAATTTGGAAAAATTATGTCTGTTTTCTTTATTTCTTTTATTGGTCAAGTCGAATCAAGGCAACATCTGAAGCTGTTATGAGCTGGGTTAAAACATGAGGATGAAGAGAGGCCAGCAGAGATAGAAATACTAAGAGAGCAGCTGTTAATAGGGTTAATATAACAGTTTAAGAAACTCTACTCGTGGAAGAGCTGGCAAGTGAGGAATTTTATGAGCTAAACTTACTTTGCTAAATTTTCTATTAATGTGGTGACATTCCCCCAGCAAATGTCAGTGCAGGTACATAACGTGCTGTATAGAGTCGCTGGCGGTATTGATCATGAGCTTTCCAGGCAGAGTAGTACTCCACCGTGCCTTGTTTGGGCAACCCTATTCCGCCTAACACACTGGTGACCTTGTCAGAGTGCCGGTGATAAATATTGAATTCGGACACGACCGAAGAAGGTTGTGATGGCACTAGTACTACTAACATTATTACAAAAAAAGATAAGATTACTGTAGTAGCCATATATGTTAATTAGGAGCTGAGTTATGAAACACTGTGGAAGAAGAAGATGAAGAAGAATGACAAGTTAAGGAGAAATGATTTAATGTTTGAAAGACAAAGAAAAGAGAGAACTAGCAGTACATAATAAGGCATATAATGAGAGGCTAACAAAAGGCTAATTTATACTGAATTAACTTTTATTCAGATTAAGAGATACTTGTATTATACGGAGTATTAGCTTTTACTCAAGAAAGATGTAATACAGTACTAGATATAGTAATACATTCATTCCATATAAAGTAGTGTCAATTAGCTTGCTCAGAATCAATTCAAGTATGTTTACCGCTAGGCGCTAGCAGTAATTAATAACATATCTGAGTAATATAATATACGGAGTATATGAATACTGAGTAATATAATACTATATGAATACTGAGTAATATATATGTATCATATATGAGCTCAGTAGCTTACTACTGATTTTACATGTCAATATGAAAGAGTTAAAAAGTTAAAGACTAGTTACCTGTATAATCATACTCCATATAATGTTAAGCGTCAATATAGTGACCTGAAACCCGGCACCCTGCCCTGACCCAACTCATATACTATGTATAGTATTCAACTTGAACCCGCAATTTCAGTCCTTGATTCGGGTTCAATATATTCAAGCTGTAAGCATGCAACCGGACCAAAAGAATTAGACACACTATGTAGTGTTAATGAGCCGAGCTGAGGCCAAACATGCAGAGCTCAAGTTTCGCTCCATTCGTTAATAGTGGTATTCAGGTTTGAGCTTAGAAGCTTGGCGAGCTTAACAAATGATGCTCGTGCTCGGCTCGATAGATGTTCAGTGTTCGAATCTAGCACCTGATAAGCTTGAAGAATTTGTTCGAATGTAAAAGTTAAGGTTATGCTCATTAACATGTATGTGCTCGAATTTTTGGATAAGTACTTGATATATGTGCTCATATTTAAATTTATAAAACCATATTGATTACATTTAAATTTTGACACATATATAACCCACACCTATAATTAGGGTGTTCAATAAGCTCGAGCTCGAAACGAGCCAAATACTACTCAGCTTGATTAAGCATTCGAACTTAAAACTCATTTCGTATTCGAGTTTGAAGCTTGTTAAGCTTGTCTCCTTAGGTTCAAAATTGAGCTCGAACTCGAATAGTTCTAAAAAGCTCGGTTCGTTAACAACCATACTCTAGATCAAATGAAAATGTTATCTAATAAGACGAATCAGAAATCTGTAACGTTTAAAATATAAACGCGCAAAACAATGAACGGAACCAAGTGAAATTTGAAATATCATGTCAAAAGAATCGTTTAGCGTTACATGAAGAAAATTTATTGATTTGATGTGTGTAAAAAGTACGGTGTATTAGGTAATAATATAAGCCCTTTTAATATCAAAGTGTGCTCATAATAAGTTAGGGAAATGAATCTCGTGTGCTTAATTCTCTAGTGTGTGTGTATATATATATATATATATATATATATATATATATATATATATATATATAGAGAGAGAGAGAGAGAGAGAGAGAGAGAGAGAGAGAGCTCTTCTCATCAGGCCGGCCTGACGGGCTGCCCCGTCCGGCCGAGCCCGTTTGGGCACCTTCCCGGTGGAATTTTTTGATGAAATTTTTTGAGCATGTTCCTCATCAAGTCTAGTTTGTCCATACCAAATTTCAGCTCAAAATTCGATCGGGAAGGTCGTCAAATGATTTTTGCAAGTTAACTGGTCCGGTTCCGGGCCGGGCCGGGCCGGGCCGGTCGGGCCACCCGGTTTAATTTTTTTTTTTTTCCTTTCTTCCCCCACCCCCCCACCCCCCACCCCCCCAAACCCCCCCAAACCGGCCTAAACAGATAGCCCAAGCCCAACAGCCCAAAACAAATGAAAAAAATTAAAAAAAAATAGATTTGGCCCGGACCCGGGCCCGAACCGGCCGGGCCGGGCCGTCAAAACCATGAACCGAGCCCGGAACCGCCCCACCCCCGGGCCTCCGGCCCGAACCGGACCCGGACCCGGATAACCGGGCCGGGCCGGGCCCGCACAGTAGCGGGTCGGGCCGGTCCCGGGCCGGGCGGCCTGAACCGAGGCCATGCCTACATATGAGTAACGTTTGTTGTCACAAATATTTCTGATCTTGTTCCAGATCAGAAAGTAACGTTTATACTTTATAGTCACAAAATCACACAATATTTCAAAAGCACGTTTTTTTCACTCTCAACTCCACTAAATTCAAACTTGGACAAGAATATAATACAGGTCCGTAGCTCTTAAAAATCCAGACCAACCCAATAGTATCAGTCCTGAGACTGGTCCTTTATATATGTAGAACTCAAAAGTATTTGTGGTTCTTTTCCAATAACGGCAATGCCTCGATAAACACCATTTGGATTAGAGTAAGAAACTAAGAAAGAACGAACTTGAAAATAACATAAAACCTACTCCTGCGTTTTATATTGAGCATTCTTTTTTATTTTTGAGATGTTGACATACGGAGTATTAGATTATAAGATTATTACGCTCAATTTATGAAGTCCCACACAGGTAAATATATCAATTTAATACCATTTAATTGATTATTATGAAATACGCTACATAAATATCTCTTGTTTATTTATTTTTGAGATTATTACGCTTAATTTCCACATATATTTACCTAGTGACATTTTTAGGTAAATATTAAATTGATGGGAAAACTGTCAATTTGGTCCTCATACTTTCATGAAAAGTCAATTAGGTCCTCGTACTTTTAAAAAGACCAATCAAATCTCTGAACTTTGTAAAAACGTTCAATTGGATCCACTTGCAGGTCACCCGCTGAGGTGGCGCACGCATTACACCTCATGATCCCTACAATTCTACTAAATAAAAAGGGTGAATTTGAGTTTGCACCCTGTTTTAAAAAGACTTTGTTTTTGCATCCCAGCCCCATATGAAAAGACGAAAATGTCTCTCCATTAACAATTTTGTTGGCCTTCAACATATTCATGATCGAGGGGCATTTTTGTCTTTTCATACGGGATTGGAGGTGCAAATACAAAATTTTAAAAAAATGAGGTGCAAAGTCCAATTTCGACAATAAAATGAGATGCAAACTCATATTCTCCCATATTCAAGAATTGGGGAATTATATATTTAGATTCACCTTAACCCAAAACGCTGCACATATGATATAAATAAATGCTTCTCTCATACGGAGTGTAACAATTGTAAAGTGATTGTTGCTAGCATAGTCACATTCATGTTCTAGAAATTACAGATTGCTAACTCAAAAAATTCAAGTAAAAATAGCAGCCACACTTGCGTAGCAACTGATTTTTACCTAGGGGCAAAAATTAAGTCCCATATCATCGAAAAGTGATTAGGGACGCTAGTAGTCTGCTCAAGTCAAAATTGGTTCTGGTCCATAATTCAGCTCGACCAGCTTAGAAGTGCTGCAGAATGAAAAAAATCATGAGTCAAATAGGTATTTCATGTAGGTATGCAGCTCGAAAAAAAACAGATTACAAAACCTGTTACTAAACAACTCCCACCACACGAACCACCTGCCCTCCATTTAGGTCTTTCAACGGGCCGGGTTCAGACCGGAACATAGTGTTCCAGATTCAGACCCGTTACTCGACGAGTCTAGAGTAATTATTCCAGACCAGGATTGAATTGGTTAGGTATACCCTTTTAAATTCAGATTCACATAACCACCTTTTTAGAGAAAATTAAAACTGTGTAACTACTAACAACTAACTACTTATCATATAATACTACTACGTATAATAGCAATAGTAATTTACTAAATTTACTCAATAAGATGGTAACTACAACCTTCATCCCCTAAGATTCAGACAAGAGGGAGTGTTGCGATCATAAAGTGAATTGTGTGATTAATTTTGATGTGGTAAAGTGTGACTAACGTAAGAATGAATTGCAACCACCCAAATACTACTAAATATGGTATGAGACAAACTTAATGTGATGAATGAAAAAGATAAAATGAGACAAACTTAATGGGGATAGAGTATTATTTTATAAACTAAGCAAAATTTCTGATCATACACTATTATTATAAAAAGAGTGCTTCTCGTACAAGATGCTGTGTATAGACTTTTACCTATGCGTATTGCATAATGCATAGTATTTGCAGTGAAAGAAAAGCACAAGTCAGTGTTCTAGAAGACATGCCACGTGACAAGGAGTCAAGGTCAAGCCTCAAGTGAGTCACACCGCCAACCGAGTGGAATCATTTAATCATGACTATGGTGAAGGGAGAGAAACAGGATTATAAGACTTTGGGGTGAATGGACTACATAAGTGTGATTCGATTCATATTTTGGTTTGGATTGATCCAAGTGCTTTTTGAGGTAACCTCTACTCCATCCTGAACTCTATCAGCTATAATCAATAAATAAAAAATAAGGATTATTTATTTAAGAGTCAATTCCCTAAATAGGACTAAAAAGTGGCAAAATTGCACAAATAGGACTACATTTTTTAAATTCCCTTAATAGGACTATTTATGTGTGTTTGGACAAATATACCCTTGTAACTTATGAAATGTTTTAATTAATAATAAAATCATAAAAAAATAATAAAAATCGAAAAGAATACTAAAAATCGTAAAAAAATAATAGAAAATTAAAAAAAAATTAAAAAAAATAAAAAAAATATTTTTTTAAAAAAAAAAATCATAAAATTAAAAAAAAAACATTACCACCCCTGCCACCCCCCAGCACCACAAGCTCCCATCACAGGAGAAAAATATGCCAACATTTTAAATAATGCCATAATGATGGCATATTTAATGAAAATGTTGGCATATTGAAGAGTAATTATGCCATCTTTTTGGCATTTTCAGAAAAATATGGCATTTTTTACCAAAAGTGGAAGAAATTTCACCAATCGGAGGTGGTGGTGCTGGGAGGCGGCGGATGGCGGTGGGAAATGTATCCATAATTTTTTTCATTTTTTTTATGGGTTTTTACTATTTTTTATTATTTTTTTTTAAAAATTACAAAAATAAAAAATTAAATTTTTTATTTTATAAATGTTTTATAAATTTTTTATAATTTTTTTTACGTTTTTTTAAATATTTTTTACGTTTTTATGATTTTATTATGAATTAAAGCATTTCTTTATAAATTAATACTCTTAGGG